CTCTCTCTCTCTCTCTCTCTCTGAGTGGGAAATTGGCACAAAGAATCAATTTTTTATTTTATCAACCTTATTTAGTTAGTTTACTTGCATAGCCCATTAGTAATCTATTAAAGTAGGTTTATTTTTTGTATGTGTATATTAATGTGAATGTATATACATAAATACATATTTTATATGTATTAGGCACTTATGTAATTTGGGAAATTAAAATAATAACTTTTATGTTGGTCTTAGAAAATAAATTATAAAACTAGGACATAAAAGATAAATTGTAAAATTCTAGCTAAGCCAGAATGAATTTATACACTGCTAACTCATAGAAAACATAAATGTATAGCCTTTTTAAAAAAAGTTTTTGTAGTTGTAGATACACACAGTATCTTTATTTATTTTTATACGGTGCTGAGGAACGAACCCAGTGCCTCACACGTGCAAGGTAGGCACTCCACCACTGAGCTATAGCCCCAGCCCTGTACAGTCTTTTTTTGAAATTCTTAGAGACCAAATGTATTGGAGTTTTAGAATTTTTGGATATTAGGGAGGAAATTCAGTGCTAAATATAATATATAATACACTCCTTTCTTGGGGTGATACTATATAATCAAACATTAATATTTCTTCAATAAACAAGAATATTCACACTAAGCTTGGTAAGCAAAGTAAATAGTCTTGTGTTCCAGTTGGAATGTGATTGCCAACTGAGTGGGTTTGTTTGTTTGTGTTTTTTAATGATATTGGGGATTGAACCCAGAGCCTCATACATTCTAGGCTAGGGCTCTACCACTGAGCTACATACTTAGTCCCTTTTAAGTTTTAAAATTTGAGACAATTTTCTCCACTGGACTAAGATGCTCTAAATATATTTCAAAGTATTGTGAAGGATTTAAAAAACAATTTTCTTAAATATGTAATGAATAATGTTTTAACTCATTTTTAGAATTGACTTAAATTACTGCAACCCTTTGCACTTTAAATAATTGGAATCTAAATAATTTTTTAAATAGTTTCCATTCTTGTGTTTTTGTTACATATTTTATCCTTTAAATTGTATTCTTAAAAATGTATCCACACACATTAATTATACACTTTCAGCTGTGATGTTAGTTTATGTATATATCATTAAACTGTTGATACAGTATCAAGATAGTCTTTTAAATGCCTGAATGTTTTTGATGAACAAAGAATTAGAAACAGTTTGTGAAGCTTCATATTTGAATAAATCCTTGAATGTAGAGGAGTAATTTGATTATTTGTCGTAGGGCTTATCTGGGTATTTAAACCATAATCCCAAAGCATATTAAAACATTTCTATAACCAGTTAGAATCTCTGCTAGATACAGAATGAGTAGATAGATTATTTTTTAATTTGTATTTTTAGAGAACAGTGGTGTCTTTATATTCTCCCCCCACCCTGATAAATTCAGTTTAACAATTAGCTAAATTACTTTTGTTTTCTACCTGCAGTTAGTAATGTCTTTTATTCTTACAGAATTAAAATACAATGGATATTGCAATGGATATAAATCTAATTTTTATCACTGAAAATTAGACATTAAAAGGGATGATTCACAAATTCCTCTGAACATCTCTTTTGTTAAAAACAGCTCTGTAAAAAGCCAGGCTGTTTTGAAGTTTTACTTATTTGAATTATATAGACTTGTTAGTTTGTTTGTACTGTTCCTGTTCTCAACAGAGTAGAGCAGTTTTAGTAATACCACACCATGTTTTTCTTTCCTCTTACTTCAATTTCTTTCTATCACAATTTTAGACTAAATCTAGATCTCATAATAGGGACTTTCTAAAATCTGTGTATTGGTTCATGAGTCAATTTGGGGGGAATGTGAAGTTTTTTTTCAGACAAGAATCTGGAAGTACATTAATGAGCATTTCAGAACATTAATACTTCAGGATTTAATATTTTCAGTAGCAAAGAAAAATAGGAGAGATTTTACATTGATTTCCCAAAATTAAGTCCCATTTTTAGCAAGACAGAAGATGCAAGTTTTTTTGTTTTTGTTTTTGTTTTAGTACTGAGGATTGAACACAGGGTACTTTATCACTAAGTCATATCCCCAGTCCCTTTTTTAAATTTTGAGACAGAGTCTCGCTAAGTCACTTAGGGCCTCACTAAATTGCTGAGGCTGGCCTAGAACTTGGAATCCTTCTGACTCAACTTCCCAAGTCTCTGGGATCACAAGTGTTAACCTCCATGCCTAGCTAGATGCAAGTATTTTTAAACAGGGATATGAGCAGTAAACAATCATCTCTTTTCTACCTTTCCAGAATGTATAAATCCTAGAATCTGGCAATTCCAGCCCAGAAAAACAGATTAGTGTACTTTTGTCAGTAAAGCTTTAAAAATTGCTTCCTTTATTTCACTAGAATATAGTTGCATGAGGTAAGGAATTTTTGTTCACTTTATTCTCTGCTTTCTATATAATGTGTAATATAGTAAGTATAATTATATAAATACTTGCCTTTAACAGAAAAAGTGAAGTTTTTGATGTCAGTGAATTATTTTTTATTTCTCAGAAAACAGAGTCTGTCACTGGGAAGAAATGATATAGTTCAGCTAAAAGAAGCCTACAAATGGATAACATACCCCCTGTTTTCAGAGGAACTGGGTGTTCCCATTGATGGAAAGGTATCGGGGTCATCAGCATTGTTAATTTCATTTGTGGTTTTATTAGTTTTACTTTATTCTGTGGCAGGGTTTGGATTAGCCAGAGGAATTTTCTGCTTAAATAATTCAGTAAAGGATTTCCAAGCTTTTAAAAATGTTGATTTCTAACAGTCATACATTGAAGATAAAGCCTCTTTTGTTTTTATTCCCTAAAGAGTTCTTTGTGATCCAAGACACTTATGAGTATAACAAGTAATATGTACCTTAATTGACCTTAAAAGGTTAGAAATGAATCTTTTCCTCTGATGTATTCATAGTTTCATGGGAGGGGGGCAGATTTACTGATATTAAGCAATATATAAATAACCGACAAGTACTGAGTCAACTCTAGACTATTTAATTTTGGTTAATCTGTGGCTAATATTGTCTCCAAATATACAGGCAGTACTGATTCAACTATAGTGAGCTTGGGCTCAATCTATCCCACTTTGTTGGCATTCAGTTCCTTCTGTTTATTTTGAGACAGAGGCTGCTTTTGAATTGAGAGCCCTTTGTCACCTTTCTGATAATTTCAGAGAAGACTGCCTCAATCTCTGGAATATTGAATTTCAGAGAAGAGCCCAATAGGTTGCTGGATGTGAAAACAGAACATATTCCTAGCTCATCTTAAATTAGATTTTAATAGTATGGCTTTATTGCATCATCATTTTGCTTGAAGGAAATTCCTGGAATATCAGATACACACCTATTCAGATAAAATCAAAACCATCTTACAAAGCTAGTTTTTTTTTTAAATCCTAAATTATATACTGTTTATGCTTCTATTAGTTAGAACACATATGACTGTCCTTTAAATTGAATGCTGAGAGAACAGAAAATAAAACCATAAATAGTATGAAGAGGAAATGAGATAAAGAGAAGTCATGAATGCAAAATATTTTTACCTCGAATTTCAGTTTGGGAGCACAAATACTTTTACATGTTGAATCAATGAAAACAGAAAATAGAAAACAAAAGATGTAATAACGTTTTAATAGAGTCAGACTGAGTGAAGTTTTCTTTAATAGAAAACGTGGTTCATTTTAATTTTATTTTGCAAATTTGGATAAGGAGCAAAAAAAGCTCTTTTGTTATTGTAATTCTAGAGTAACTAATAGGCTTATTAGCAATCCAATGAACTTAGTACATATAGAAATCAGTAAATACACAGAACTAAATAAAAAACAAGAAATTGTAACTCAGTAAAAAAGACAAATTGTGACAAAGTATAACATTTATATCTTTTTTAATGTGAAATTTTATGTATTCTCTGTGGAGATAAAAGTATATAGAATATGAAATTGTGCTGTTTTATGTACAAGATGTGCATGTAAAAGAATATAGCATTTTTTAAATTTTAGAATAATTTTCTATAACTTAAATGTCTGACACTTAAAATTCAAAAATGTTTATAAAAAAAGATTAAATAAAGCAATTTTCCAAAAGCATGTTTAATATTTTAAAATGTACATATATATGTTTATATTCACAAATATGTCTAGAAACTTATTAAATTGTTAATAGTTCTATTTCTGTGGATTGGAAGTGAAAAACCATCCTGTATTTGATTATTTTATAATTTGTAGGTGTTACTTTTGTAACAATGCAAAAAAATTAAGATTTATCTGTCTCAAATCCATTAGAAATTTGAGCACTTAAAATATGCTTCATACAAGGGCTGGGGATATAGCTCCGTTGGTAGATGCTTGTCTTGGATGCACAAGGCCTTGGGTTCAATCCCTAGTACCACACACACACAAACACACACACACACACATATATGTATGTATGTGTGTATATATATACACACACACACACACTCTCTCTCTATATATATATCCACATACATAAATATGTATACTTCATACAGAATTTTTGGAGATGCAAATAAAATGTGTTTTGCCTTATTAAAAATTCTAATCATAGTATTGACAGAATAAGTTGTTTCTTTTAGTTATTCTTTCTGGTTCCCTGAATTCTGATTGAATTCCGATTCATCTTTGTACCTAATTTGTATATTTGTCTAAAAAATTACACAAATTTGTTTTGATTTTACTTTAAAACTTTCTTGGTAATATCTCTAGTGACTGAGGTTTACAAGTTAAAAAAAAAAAAAAAAGAAAAACAACAAAAATCAATCTAAAAGTTTCCTTTACAGCTGCCCTGTGAACAAGCTGATTTGAGAGTAGTAGTAATATTTCTAGTTTTCCTTGTCACTTTTTTTGAGCCAATCTTTGAGAGTTAATTTCTATATCCAGTCATAAGTTGTAAGATGTTAGTTTCCTTTTGCTCATTTTAAAACTGTCTTTATAATTTTTAGAGCTTGTTTGAAGTGAGTGTGGTCTTTGCTCACCCAGAAACAGTTGGGGATTGCCACTTCCTGTAAGTTGCCATGTAAACGACAGTGTCAAATTTTGTAAAATTGTTAATGCTTTTGGTTTTCATTGAAATAGTAATGTTTCTCTTTCTAATTAACATTTCAGAACTTGTCATAATTTAGTACATTAAAAGTGTGCCTTCTAACTTAAGGTTTCTAGGTAAACCAGGGTAGCTCATGTAAGAGATTAATTTTGTCTACTTCTGATATCTTGAGTTTAGCAATCATGTTGTGTAAAATATATTTAATTGACTTATATCTACCCCCAATAAACTAATTAACTTTTTATATTCACTTGAATTTTATTTCAGAGGTAAAATTTTCCCAGACTGTTTCAAGCCAGCCAAAAATAAGCAGGTAAGGATTCTTTTGAGCTGAATATGAAGATAACAATAAAATGAAAATGCACTGGAAATGTGGCAACTCTCTTATGCCAAAATTAATTTTTAGCTCTTTCATGGAGACCTACTTTACCATTCAAAGGCCTATAGAGCTTTTCTTACTTCAAACTCCCTGGCACTTCGGTCATTTTACTCATTCTATGCTAGGGTTGTGGTCCTTTGTCAAGTTTCTTGCATAGACAAAGTTCCTTTTCTGGTTTTCTACATTGGCAAGATTATTAATCATTTAGAGACATAGGTATCATGTTTCTCCATCATGTTTTTAGTTCTTTGCATCATTTAAATATCTTTGCTTGTCTCATTCTACTTTGTTTTGAAGTCCATGTACTTTAGACTGAAAATGTTTTATCTTTCTTTGAAAAGCATAACCTAATCTTTTTTTTTTTGGGGGGGGTGTACCAGGGATTGAATTTATGGGCTCTTGCCCACTGAGCCACATCCCCAGCCCTATTTTATATTTTTATTTAGAGACAGGGTCTCACTGAGTTGCTTACTGTCTTGCTTTTTGCTGAGGCTGGCTTTGAACTCGAAATCCTCCTGCCCTCAGCTTCCTGAGCCGCTGGGATTTATAGGCATGTGCCACCACACCTGGCAACATTACCTAATCTTGTAATAAAAAATGGTTCAAATTTAGGAAAAAGAAAAAAAGAAGACTCAGAGGAGCAATTAGAATGTTAATGATGTCTCTTGGAACAGTCAGCAAATACCTAAAAGTATTAAGTACTTAAATGTGCTTCCAGTTTCTGCTTGTTTTAGAATCTTTACATTTTTCTTAATGCATTTGTAGGCTTATAGTTATCTTCACTATGTAAATACAAAGTTATTGATAATACTGGTAGCTACTGTTGTAAAGTAAAAAATCCTTTAACTTTAAGGTAATTTTCTTTAAAATTTTTTTTAAGTTGTAGATGAACACAATACCTTTATTTTATGTATTGATTTTTACATGGTGCTGAGGATCGAACCCATAGCCTCACACTTGCTAAGCAAGTGCTCCATCACTGAGCCACAACTCTAGCCCCTATAGTAATTTTCTATAAATGTACAGTTACTTATTTTACCTGCAAGACAAAATTGGAAGCCAATTACATATTGAAGAATTTGTGTACTATTTATTTGGATTTTGTAGCACCCTTTTATTATATCAGAAAATGGTTCTAATCTTTTAAACAAGGGTTATCTTTTTGTAGCTATAGTACTGTACAAACAGTAGGAGCTTGGCTGGGCGCAGTGGTGCATGCCTGTAATCCTAGCGACTTGGGAGGCTAAGGCAGGAGGATCGAGTTCATTTGCTACATTTAGTTTTTTCAATTCTTAGCACCTTTGCCTTCATCTGTGAAGTCATTGCACATACATATCCATATTTGTGCCTGCGTCTGGGTTGTTCCACTGGTTCCTTAAATTTAGAACCAGTATTTCAATGATATTAATATTAACCATTTGGGGAAATACAGCTTTCAGTTTTTAATCCACCAAATTGCACCATCAGGGAAAATCCATGGCAAGTATCAGCAGTGTCCCAAACTTTTGTCTAATACATACTTTCCAGAAATTAGTTTTAAAAAAATCTAATCCAAGCTAAGTTATTTTATTTATTAGGATAATCATAAATTAATATAGATTGAGTGTACCTTATTCAACAGTGCTTAGTTCATGAATGTTTCAGATTTGGAAATTGTTTGAATTTCAGAATATTTGTGTATACTTTACTGGTTAGGCATCCCTAACCTGGAATTTAGATTTTCAGATTAGAGATACTCAACCTTCGTAGATATTTCAGGCCACATTCACAAAAAGGATATTTTATTCAGGCTCTCCTTTGTTGTCTAATGTTAGCTGATTTTCATGTCAGTGAACAAATTAGTTATCGTATTCTTTTAGTTCATATTATGCCAGAATAAGATAGCATGACATGCTGTTGGGGCAATCTTTCATGCTCCCATTACTTAGCTGGTATTTTACAATTAAGCATTCCTACAATTTTACTAACATCCATTTTGTTTGGTAGTTGTTAAAAAGAATATGTTTATTTTCAAAGATATCTGGGTCTTTCTTCTTGATTTGACTACTAATTGGCTTATTTAGAACTGGGGGATGAAGTTAATAACTTTTGTCAAATACTGTGTATGGAAATAATTAGAAATGCAGACTAAGTCTAAAGCATTGTCTCCTTACTTTTCTTTTTTTAGGGGGAAACAATCTAATCTTTTTTTTTTTTTTTTTTAGTTGTAGATGGTTAGAATACCTTTGTCTATTTTTATGTAGTACTAAGGATCAAACCCTGTGCCTCACACAAGGTAGGCAAGTGCTCTACCACTGAGCCACAACCCCAGTCCCTCATTACTTTTCTTATATCATGGCACACCTGGAGCTTTACCATGTTGATTCAATACCTTGAGATTAGCAAATGGAATTGAGGTTTGGGGGGAAAAAATCAAGCACATTTCCTACAATGTTGTCATTTTTATATTTGAAGAATGCCATATTTTGAGAGGAGTGAGATAGTGCCATCAAAAACACATGTTTTGTTGGTCTGCCTTGTAGTGCAGAAATAGATCAAATTGAAGAGAAAGAGTAGAGGTATACCAGTTTCAGAACTGACATTATGACTGCTTAAGTTTTACTTATTTTCTTGAAAATAGTAAGTATTTTCCCCTTTATGTGTGTAAAATGACATAATTTCTCCAACTGTGTTCTGTGTTTCAGCTCTGATTTTTTTTTTGTCTAGGTAATAAAATGTCTTTTAATTTTCCTTTTACCCTGTATAGTCGATATTCACTAGAATGGCAGTTATGAAAGCTTTGAATAAGATAAAAGAAGAGGATTTCCGCAAGTAAGTAGAAGTATCATGGAATTTTAGAATAAAGGGAATGTTAAAGATAATTCAGATTATCTCCAAGACAAGACTGGATGTATTTCAGGGACCAGGACTGCATTTTAGTCATCCTTATATACCCAGTTCCTGATATAGTAACTGGCATGTAGTGGTGTTCAGTACATGTTTGTTAAGCTAATATTTAAATTATGAGTGAAGTCTAACTTCTTTATATTTTAGAAGAGGATATTGAGATCCGAAGAGGAATTGACTTGCTTATGTTTTCAACTGGGTAACAGAGGGTGGACCTCAGGCCCAGTGCCATTTCTATTACTTAACTAATCCTATATGTCCTAGCTTGGCCCATCTGCAGAGGAGGGAGAAGACTGGGGAATTTTCTTACTTGTAATGGGAATAGCACTGGCTAGGAAGTCAGGAAACTTGATTTTAATCAAGTCCACTCTGTTTCCCCAGTTGAAATCTTAGGCAAGTCAACCAGCTCTTTGGAAATCAGTGCCTTCTTCTAAAATATAAATTGTTAAAATATGCTAAAATACAATAAACCTTACATTATAATTCTCAGTATATTTATAAATAAAATATTATTGTGGTTATTCTTTCAGAAGATACTTGAATACATTTTAAGCAATGATATTATAAGGAGGGTTTTATATCTCTGACAGAGTCTCAGAATGGAAAATATTTTTATTAAATTTTAGAGAGTAAATTTTACTTTATACACAGGAAATTTCCAAACCATGCATTTGGGGTTAAATCTATATCTAGTTATTTACAGGTAGTTTCCAGTTTTGAACTTGCAAATTTCTAGATGATGGATAGAGAATAAAGCTATATGTTGTTTTTTCCTGTCTGTCCTCAGTAGGTTTAAAGTTTCTTAGCTAAGAGGACTGTGTCAACCACACCCCCCCCCCACGTAATCTAATTCCCAAGGTCGTATTTGGAATGAGAAGAAAGTAAAAGGAAAAGTGGTCAAGCGCCCTCCCTGACAGTTGGGACTTATTTCCCACAGGTATGGGATGAACTTCGTAAGTGGGACCACTTACTGCATATTAGCTTTACCCAAATAACTGAGTATCATGGAGGTAAGCCAGCAGCAAGTGATAGGGAGAGCAAAATGATTGAAGAGCCTGGAGAGGCTTCCACTTCATAGATATGGATTCCCCCATCCCCAAATCTTAAGGCTGTGAAATTCATTTGGGAAAATGAGACCTCCTGAGCATAAAAGGTAGCATCAGAGCTCTCATAAACTTAGTGCCACTCTCATAAATTAAAAGTGTTACTCCAGAGGCCTAAAATAAATTTATTGTTTCAAAACTAAAAGTTAGGGAGAGGTGTATAGTCCTTGAGAACCTCAGGTTCTGTTTGTGTCTCAGACAATGCTGATTCATCTTAGTTTTGTAATTCAATATCATGTCTGGAAAATAGTAGCTGTAAAATTTGTTTTGTTTTACAGGCAGTTTCCTTGTCCTCCAAACTCACCAAAGGCTGTTTGCACTGTTCTTGAAATTGAATGTGCTCATGGTGCTGTTTTTGTGGCTGGTAAAATATTTTGTCTAGAATATATGTATAACGTCAACCTACTGACTGTTGTCCTTTCTGAACAACTCAGTTGACTCCTTTTATGTTTTATTTTTATTGTTGTTATGATGTTCTGGTTAGTTTACTTTTTTGATATGTAACACTTTTTTTTAGATTCTGTGGGCTGTCCTAAAGATTCTTAGGGAATATAGTTTAAAAAAATCCTTAGGAGAGCTGTTATTTCAAATGTTATGCCAAATGGAAGTGACAACTTTCCAGGTTTTAGTAGTTTACATCATAGGTGGGTAGAAATATAGACAGATGTGAAGACCCAAAGTGATCAAAGACTATAGCACTGAAGATATTTATAACATGGAAAGCAAACTTGAAAAAAATGATATTATTATGTCAAAATGACCAAACACTTGGCTTTCACCTGAAAAAATAATTGTTATATTGACTTTCCCGAGTGGTTAGATAGCAGACAGTTTTAACTGCTTCAATGATTCACACCTGTATTCCCACATACTCAGGAGGCTAAGGCAGGAGGATCACAAATTCAAGGCCTACCTGGGCAACTTAGTGAGATCCTGTCTCAAAATAAAAAATAGAAAGGACTGCAGATGTAGCTCAGTGTTAGAGTACCCCTGGGTTACATCTCCAGTACTGTGAAAAAAGGAAGAAAGAAAGAGAGAAAAAGAGAAAGTCAGTCAGTTATAGCTCCTTCATAGTAATAGGTGAAATGAAATTGCTCTTAGCCTGCCCTAGGGCAGTAAAATCTACCGGCTTAGTATAGCTTTATTCATAAAACAGTGAGTCATAGTCTGTTGGGGTGTTTTGTTTTTTGTTTTAACTTAGAAAAACTTCAAATTTTCCTATATTTGAGTTCTTTGGAATATGTTGTCACTAGTGACTATTACTTTGAAAGTATTATTAGCACATATAAAAGCAATAATTTTTATTTTCTTAATGATCCTTGGTATGTACCATATTATATAACTTGTTCAATCAGCCAGTCATATTATAAAATATATTGAGCATTCCTTTCAAACTTACTTAATACACCATTGATATCATGTCTTTAGCCATCTATTCTATTGTTACTTTAAATATTTTTAATTATCTTCATTTCTATGTGCTGGCTCCCCAATACATGGAAAACAAGTGAATTAGTTAAAGGCTAGGCCTTGTTCTGCATCATAGTACCTAGAATATTGGCACTCAGTAAGTAGTTGTTGCTTCTCTTTATCCTATTGTGTTCATCACACTGTTCCATTGAGGCTACCTGATATTTCTTTGGCAGGGAGATACAATAAATATTCCAGGAATCTACCACAAACTCCTTGGATAATTGATGGAGAAAGGAAGCTGGAATCTTCAGTGGAAGAATTAATTTCAGATCATCTGCTGACAGTATTCAAAGCAGAGAGTAAGTGTTATGATATTATTATTTTAAACACATTGTTATTTATGAATAGATTTCTTGGGAGCGGCAGGAAAGATTTCTAAATTTTATTTATCATTACTGGATCTGGTCCTCTTGACTCTGGGCTTCCCATAAACAGGGATTGTTTTATGTCCAGGGGTCTTCCTTCTCAAAATCACTGCTCCCTTCTGGGAAACTCAAAACAGATGAAACTACTTTTCAATGAATGCAGTTAAGCCCTGGCCTCAGCATACCTTAGCCTTAGCTTCTTTTGGGGAATATGAGGAAATTAAAACACAGCTTCCACATCCAGTGCTTGTTCAAGAGTTGTCATTGGCAAATATCTGGCTTCTATATTAACCTATAAAGTATGTTGGGATGAAGTTGAGGCCTTGAGAAAACAGATCAACAGTAGCCATTTTACAAGGACTTCATGGCAGTGTATTGTTTTAATTTCTTAAATATTAATGTACCTAGAGTGTGTGGAATGTGTCAGATCCTGTTATGCTTATGTTATCCTTGTCTCAACAAGTCTGTCAGGTCAAAGGCAACATGAAGTCCTGTGATTTCACCCTGGGGTTAGATAAGAGAACAAGGAGTAAGATTTCAATCACAGGAAATCATGTTACATGTCAGGAAAAACTGCAGGCAATGAGTTATGTCACTTTTTAGACTGTAACTTTTTAGAATGGGGCTCCTAGCCTGAGTAGAAGACCTTTTTATCAGGAACCAGCTAGATATCTGTTTTTCTCTCTGAAAAATCTTAAGAAGAGTGTGCTTTGAGAAGGAAGGCAGATGATCTAGATAAGGTACAGTTGTCCCTTCTAGCTCTAATTTGTTAAGAAGAAAATGAAGTATTTCAAACCATATCCTTCTTATAATTTGTTGCTTGTCAGGTCGGTTGGGCACCTTCCTTTTTTTTTAAGGCTCTTTAAGAATTTTTTTACTGAATGGAGAAGAAAGTATCCCAGCAATCTAATATTTTCCAAAATCTTAGGAGTAAAAAACTCTGGGCTATTGCCATAAGCTTTTATTTATTAATTTAATATTTACAACTGGTTATCTCATAAGATTTACAAAGGAATGAAAAATGAAAATAAAGCTTAGCATTAAATGTCTTCAACACTTTTGAGAGCTACCTTATTCCCTTTCTGTAAAAAGATTTAAGAAATCTTCAGTTCTAATTACTTAGGTCCCAAGGAAACCTTTGTCATCCTTAGGGCTGTTGGAGAGCTCTGAAACAGCTGTGCTTTCCTCCCTCAGTTTTTATGAAGGTGATTTGTTGTCATTTTCTATTTGAAGGAGGAACTATTACCCCCAGACTGAAAATAAAGCGAATTGTGTGTTCAGAGTGTTGAAGAACTTTATTAAGAGCCATATGAGAAAAAGCAGACCTCTGGACCTCTGTGCTGATGGCTCCTCGTTAGGGGATAAAACCTTGTTGTTTGAAATCCCTGATTAATAGCATCAGTTTTCTAAATTAATCAATTTCTAAGCTATATTACCTGTTATTTCTGATTAATGGTTCATATCTGAAAAGATGATTCTAATTGTTGTAACCCTAAGTTTTACAGTTCTATGAATTAAACTGGTATTACATGGGGCACCCTAGCTATTCACATGATAGTTCTTACTCCTAGGTGGGATATACAAACTTGTTCCTTCACTTCCAACTGGCATGTGCCATTATCTGCTTGCTAATTCCCTAGGTAATGAGTAATAAATTTTGACATGCTCTTAAATTCAGAGTCTAAGTTTTCCCCAGTACTATACTTATTACTTTACTTATTGAATAAATATTTGTCATGTCAGCTCCCTGCTGAAAACTGGTCAGTGATGAGCTTTAAGATAAAGCTTAGTTTCAAACTATTTAACTTAATGTTCCAAGGCCTTCATTAGCTGGCTTCTGCCTATCTTTCAGTCTTGTCTGTCTGTCCCTGGTTATGAAGGCCATTACAGATTAGTTGAACTATTTATAGCTCCTGATCATTTTTGCTGTTGATTTTTTTTTAACATTCTTTCCTTTGAGCAGAAGACAAAACCCACAGAATTAGGGGGATAAAGCAAGGTATAATGTGAGTTTAGAAAGCTCAACTAAGTTTTAGTATGTATTTTTTAATACTTAAGGCAGTGGCTCCCTTTCCTTTTTTGTTAGCTATTATTTCTGATTGTACACTAATAAAGTTTCAGGGTTTATCTGTACAAGTTTCTCCCAGTCTTAGAGTCCAACAGTATTTTCTTAGTTCTCAATTTTGAAACATTTTCAAAAAACTATAATATATATACTTCTCCTTTGTTCTGGATTTAATGTTTCTCTGGCCTTCTCAAGAGCCTAGCTTTCTACACATCCTTTCTTCTTGATCAGTTGGAGTTTGTGGGAAGTTTTATGGGATGACATATGAATCTATAATTTCCGTTCTGAGTTAGCAGTAACTGTTGGACTTATCTCTGAGTCCTGTTCATTCTTTCCACCCCTGCTAGTCTTGAGTTCTGATTCAGTCGCTGTGTACCCCTTGATTCCCTGACATGTATACAGAATCCTACTCCCTGTCTACTTTCTTCACCTAGAAAAGAACCGGACCTCATGCCTCTTAAGGATGCCCACTTGGTCTGACCTCAGGTGTTAGCAAACCGCAGGTCACCTAGAATTCTGAGCCTTGGAAGCAGCTTGAATTGTAGACCTGCCTTTGATATCTAGACCTTATCCAAAAAGCTGCAGGTTGAACACACAGCTTTGGGTCCTGTGGGTCAGGAGAAATCCACTTTACCAGGTGCTACATGGCACATACAACAGCCCAGAGCCTGTTTCCAAAAAGGTGTTGGCCTTGGCTGGCTAAAGGAATTTTTTAAAGGGAAAGGAAGAAAAAAATCTTACTTTCTGTATAGCTAAACATCCCAGAAAGGAGGGCTAATCTTCATTGTTATTTTCATGGGACTTTTTAAACTTCTGGCTTCTGTTTTTTTTTTTTTTTTGTCTTCTTTTTAAAAGACAGGGTATCCCTATGTTGCCTAGATTCAAGAGATCCTCCTGCCTCTACTTCCTGAAAGCTGGGCTTATAGAAGATTATCATTAGCTTTACTTTTTCTAAAATTTGCATGAAAACTTTGCATATAAAATCTTTCCTGAGAGAAAATGCTTATCAAAATGATATAGTCCTGCATATCTTGTCCCTCTCCTGTTCTCAGGAGGCCCAGGTTGCTTGCCATTCAAGTGCTGGAAGATTCTTAGGGAGAATACCAAGTACCCTGAAAGCTAGTGAATGGACCCTCAAGAGAAAGAAGCCCGCAAAGTAGTCCTTTGCTTAAAAGGAAAAGTGAGAACTATGCAATGATAGATGAGTAGATATGCAAATAATACCAAAAAGCAAGGAAACAAACCATCCCAAACAGCCCATAATGCTTTAGCAACTGACTCCATTGATTCTGCAGTAGAGGAAATGGTAGTGAAGGAAGTCAGAAAAATTCATAGTTAAAATGTTATATGAGCTAAAATAAAGTATATAAGGTGTGAAGTCAGAGGGAAAATACAGGTAGTGAATGATCATTTCAATAAAGAGGTTAAGATTCTGAAAAAGAACCAAATGGAAATCCTGGAAATGAAAGAATAAATAAACCAAATTAAAAATTCTATGGAAATTATCACAAATTGATTAGAACACTTTGAAGATAGATTTCCAGGCCTTGAAGACAAAGTATATGATTTGAAAATAAAGTCAACCATAAAGAAAAGATATTACTAGACCATGAAAATATTCAGGAAATCTGGGATAACATTAAAAGACCAAATTTAAGATTCGTTGAGGGCTAGGGTTGTGGCTCAGTGGTAGAGCACTCGCCTTGCATGTGTAAAGCCCTAGATTTGATCCTCAACACCACATAAAAATAAATTAATTAATTAAATGAAGGTATCATGTTGATCTACAACTATAACAATATTATTAAAAAATTCATTGGGGTAGGTAAAGCTCTGAAATATAAGTTAAAGAAATATACAATCTTTTCAATGAAATAATATCAGAAAAATTTCCAAACCTTAAGAATGAGATGGAAATTCAAATACTAGAGGCATATGGGACTCCAAATATACAAAATTACAATAGATCCATTTTAACAATTTCAAGGCACATTATAATGAAAATGCCTAACACAGAAAATAAGGTTAGAATTTTAAAGCTGCAAGAGAAAAACGACTGGTCACATTTACAGATAACCCAACTCAGAGGATTTCAAGTGATTTCTCAACAAAGACACTAAAAGTGAGGAGCGCTTGGGATACTATATACCAAGATCTGAAAGAAAATGGATACCAACCAAGAATACTAAACCTAGAAAAACTAAGCTTCAGAATTGAAAATGAAATAAAGACCTTCCATGATAAACAGAAGCTAAAAGAATTTAGAGCTAGAATGCCTACACTATAAAACATACTTGATAAAATATTTCATGAAGAAGAAATGAAAATCAGAATAGGGAGGAATTACACTAGAAGAGTAGTCAGTTAAAGTGAATAAAATGCAATTTAAATGTAAGAAATAAAATGGCAGGAAAAAAATAATCTCAATAATAACATTGAATATAAGTGGTCTGAACTTTTCAGTTAAAAGACATAGGCTGGCAGGTTAAAAAACAAGACCCAACAGTATGCTTTCTAAGAGACTCACCTCATAGGCAAAGACATTCACAGACTGAAGGTGAAAGGATGGGAAAAAACATACCATGGGAATTTTAAACAAGCAATGTTAACTAGTCTTATATCAGATAAAGTAGACTTCAAGCCAAGATTAATCGGAAGAGACAGAGATTACTTCATAATGCATAAGGGATAAATAATACATCAACAAGATATAATGATTGTAAATATTTATGCCCCAAACAATGGAGTATCTATGTACATCACAAAAACCCTTCTTCATATGAAGAATCAAACAGACCATAAAACAGTAACACTGTGTGACTTTAACACACCTCTCTCACAACTGGATAGATCATCCAATTAAAAACTA